ATTAAGATCTTTTTGAAAAGTTCTTTCCAGATCTCAAGTTCTAGAATTCTAAGTTACTGTCATTCAGTGTTTGTGCTGATCTAGAAGAAGCAAGAGCAATCTTCTTTAGTAGTGGATTTTCAGTGGACTTTAGAAACAGAATTGGTAGGGAAAAAGAAAGCTAGAGAAGCAATTGCTCCTTATGAGGATGGATGAAATTCTAACTCTTAGAGACTATTCGTGAGTTACCTCTAAATGTAATTACAAAGCATGTCTGAGAAGACTGGAGTCGATGACTTGATCATTTGAAAACAGGAGAAAGTATGAATCTTGGTTTCTAGCCATAAACTGAATTCTCAAAGTTCTTATGATTTTTATAATTAAAATAGTTATTTTATTAAAATCCCAATAATGCTTCATCCTTTCATAGCGTAGGAAACTGGTGCTAAGGCATCCCTTGTGCTCTCTCAGTTGGAGTGTATGGATATAGGGTAGAGTCAGGATGAAATGCCATCTGTTTCTCCCCAAAGCAGCACTATCTGGTTTGGCACAAGCAAAGCTGTGAAGCACAGGTCTCCTTGTTAAATTATTCTTTAATCACTTTGGAGATAAAGAGAGGGGAAATGCTACCTCACAGTGTCCTATGAAAACACTTCAGAATTAACCATTTTCCTCAATGGTTTATTATGAGATCAAATCAGACCTAGAAGAGATTTACAGATAATACAGTAAAAGCATAATTGATGGTTACTTGAATCCTGGTCAATAAAACCTTCAACAGTGGTAGTTACGGGAAATAATTCTTTTCCACCGTATGAGGAGAGAAAGTTTCTATTTGCAGAATTTTTTTAAACTCAGTAAATCTCTATTTTTATTTTTCAATTATAAATAGTTTTAAAAGATTGGAAATATTTTAAAGCTTTCAGTCTACTATGGAAAAATTTTATATGTGTGTTTATGTATAGGTACACGACAGTATGAATGCTTGTTATTAAAAAAGGAAAAAAAACAGTGAGGTGTTTTGTCTGTTTCCTCATCCTAGGCACGTAGAGGTAAAACATCGGTGCATCTAGTCACTTCCACATTTTTAATATCACACTCCGTCAAAGGCAGAAAGCAGGTGGGGCGGGGGTATGTGGCTTGGCATGGAGCCACCTTCCCATGGCCAGATGTGTGACGCTTCAGGGTATCTTCTCCGGAGTCAAAGGTGTCTGGATTCAAATTCGAACTGTATTACTTCCTATAATATGGACAAGTTGCTTACCATTTTTGATCCTCTTCTGTAAAATGGTGATCTAAGAGTATAAACATTGTAGGGTCTTAGAATTAAATGATATAATCCATGGAAAGTATTCACATACTACCTGGCGCAGAGTGACGCTCAGTATTCTTAGGGGTTGTTTGTCAGTCCTTGCCAAAAGAGGGAATACTCTCTGTTGAACAATCTGAAGAACTAGTAATGGAGACATTGATGAGTGCTAATGGATTAAGGTTTTACTCAGGGAAATCCGTGGCCAAATGTGTAGAAGGGCGGTAAGAAGGAGAAGCCTTACAGCACATTTCAACCTGACCACATAAGTAGCTAGAAATGTGTCTTGTTGTAGTTTGCCTCAAGTCATTGTATGGATGAGAACTCACTGATCTCACATGATGACTTCAAGAGGGCCGACCACATTGGTAAACATAAAAATGGCGGCTTTCAATTCTGTTCCACTGGTATCTTCTCATTCTCTGCCCCACTTATTTCCCCATTGTGTTTCCTACGGTTGAATTTCCATTTGGTCACTTCCTATGGCTCCCCACAGACTCGTAGATAAAGTCCTAAGTCTCTGACTTGGTGTTCAGAGTCCTTTACAATCTGGTCTCCAGAATTTTACCAGACACATCCACCATGTCCTGTCGTAGTACACAGCAATCCAGCCAAACAGAGCTCTTTGCAGTGCCCTCAGATATGTCTCACTCTCCCACTTCAGATCTTTACTCATGCTCTTTCCTCTTCCTGTGTCACCATATTACTCACTCTTCAAGCTCCAGCTCCTATGTCAACTCTCTCATGAAGTATTCCTTGCTCATGCCAGCAGGGTGGTCATTTTTTTTTTTTTTAATTTTGCGGTACGTGGGCCTCTCACTGTTGTGGCCTCTCCCGTTGTGGAGCACAGGCTCCGGACGCGCAGGCTCAGCGGCCATGGCTCACGGGCCCAGCCGCTCCGCGACATGTGGGATCTTTCCGGACCGGGGCACGAACCCGTGTCCCCTGCATCGGCAGGCGGACTCTCAACCACTGCGCCACCAGGGAAGCCCAGGGTGATCATTTTTTATCTTATAAATTCTTGCCCTAACTTTTTCTTGTCCCACAGTTTTCACATTTTTAGCTGGAATCACAGTAAGAGATACATTTTGCATTAACACACATTTCATTCTCAAACACACACACACACACACACACACACACAATGCTAAACAAAAGCTTCATGAAACAATACTTACCCTCACTATTTGCAGTATTAATCTAATATTGCCTCTTTTCTCTTTCATTTGGAAAAAAAAAGCTCTGGCTGCAATGTATTAAATAGACTTAAATTACTCTTTAATTGTATCATAACCTGAAGTTTGAAAAACACTGGTCTACACAACTCATACAGAATATTCTTTATTATTTATTGTGTATAGGCATTATGTTCCCTACCAGATTAAAAGCTACTCAAGGGTGATACTATGTGGAGCAACATAGAGTCTTTTGCAGTATCTAATCATGCTTTTCATATTAGTTCCCCAATAAGTATGTGTGGAAGCAAAAAAGGAAAGAAAAAAGTAAGGGAGGGAGGAAAGAAATATGAAAAATATCTCTGGAGTTGTTGATTATACTCAGAAATTAAGGTTGTTGCTATTTAGCAAGTCAACAGAGAGAGATCATTCAAGTTATTTACTGGTGAAATTTCCAGTCCATGGGGTATATGCCTCTTCAAATAACTTCTTCAATCTCAGTTTAAACTTAGAAATTAATGTTACCTCATGGACTCTAGGACAGAAAGAAAAATAGTGAGAACAAAATGACTAATAGAGAAAAGGTAACCTCATACACGCTGTGCTCCTTTTCTCTGCTGAGTATTGAGGGGAAGGAGAGGATGGGAGTAAGACCAAGGGTGTGAAGTGTTTCTCCAGAGGTGAAAAAGCTTTTGACTTGATTTCGGTAAAGCCCTTGAAAAAGCTGTTCTGTCATTCCTGTATGTGCGGAACACATCGGTATGTGCTGCATACATCAAGCAATTTCTGTGAGCTGTCTGTAAACAAAGTCAACGCTAAGCATAAACACTCCCAAGGCCCTCAAGTCTATAAAATAAAACAGGAAGTACACACTATCTCATGACATCTCAAATATTGCTTTTCAATGACTTGAAAGATTTTGGGGTTTTTTCCTCAGATTCAAAGAGGAAAATTTTGGATGAAATTTAAATTTGAGAAGTCATACAAATGACATACAATTACTGTAATGACATACTCAGTTTGACTGGGATTTGAACATGAGTCTTTGTTATTCAAAGTCCATCCTCTCAACTACCTGTTGTACTGACTCTGTATACAACTGACCCTTAAATAGCATGAGTTTGTACTGCGTGGGTCCACTTATACACAGATTTTTTTCAATAGTAAATACTACAGTGCTAAAATCTGAAGTTGTTTGAATCTTTGGATGCAGAGAAACCTCGGATAGGAAGGGCCACATATAAGTTATACTTGGATTTTTCTATCGCATGGAAGGTAGACGCCCCTAACCCCCAAGTTGTTAAAGGGTCAACTGTTCTGTATACAAAGTAACAACATAAAAATAGTGCTTTCCATGAACAGGAATATTTTTTCCACATCCTTTGTAAACATTTGTTTGCTGTTTTTTGATCTGCAACATAACAGTAAGTATACAGAGACAAGTCCAACAAATGCAGGATTAAAAAAGTGTATAAATGCCAATAAGTTACAATAATATTATATGAAACAAATCTTTCCATAGATCACTGAGAATTAAATCCTACATACTTCACTTTTAAAAAATAATATTGCAATGGAAGTTTTAAGAATTATTGTAAGATATTGGCTTTCTATTGCCAAAAAATAATTATTAAAAATAAACATAGGGCTTCCCTGGTGGCACAGTGGTTGAGAACCCGCCTGCCGATGCAGGGGACACGGGTTCGTACCCCGGTCTGGGAAGATCCCACGTGCCGCGGAGCAGCTGGGCCCGTGACCCATGGCCGCTGAGCCTGCACGTCCGGAGCCTGTGCTCCGCAACGGGAGAGGCCACAACAGTGAAAGGCCCGCGTACTGAAACAAAACAAATATATATATATATATATTTATATATATGTGTATACATATATATATATAATATACATAACAATGTATTGTCTTCACTTCTGTGCCTTTGAGAGAAATAAGTCATTTGAAAAGGCAGATTTATGGTGGCTCTATTCCCAAGAATGTAGGCTTGTTGCAATTGTTGAATTTCTTTAAAATTTATTTTCTCTTTAGAATATATATGTAGTTTATGGAGAGAGAGAGAGAGAAATGCTATGTACCAAAAAAAGATGCACTAATACTGAGATTTTAGTATTTAGTAACTTTAACGTGCTCTAAAACATTCAGTAAAATACCCACTGCCCAGAGAGTGCCTATTTAATTATTTCATCGGACAATGTTAGTTTAGTTGGATTAAAAATATTGTTAAGCTTCGAACTCATACATTTATTCCTCACTAGTTTTGTCAGATATTATTTTGTTTCAGAACCACAGACTGATTCTGCCAACCATCTTAAAAATTCACGCCATTGGTGAGAAGCAGATGGAGTTAGTGAATGAATACAGAAATCAAGGCTGGATTCATTACAATTAGAAAATTAATTCCAAAACCATACCCGATGCAGTAGTATACATACAGTTTACTTTGTTTAAATATACTAGGCTGTGATTGGCAAAATAAATGTAAATTTTAATGCAACTGCTTTAACACAATTTACTTTTTTCCGAAGTCAAAGATACAGCCACTCCTGTATTATCATCAACTTCTGCAACAAAAACATCTGTACCAACATCAAACACAACGTCATCACCAAATGTTGCAGAGAAATCAACAGTTGAAATATCTGCTAAAGGTAGGATTAACTCTTCATGACACTTACTTTAACTTTAACAAATTAAATTAGTAGCACCCATATAAATTAATCATAGGAAAATAATTTGGGAATCTCATATCTGTGCTTTGAAGGTCTAGGTTATTTCACTATTTTGAAACTCATGTGTTATTTTGGGTTGAATACAGAACTGTGAGATCACAGTGGGCTTCTTCGATGATATCGCTTTGGGTCACTTCCTGTTTGGGAATGATCCTATTGTGATGGTTACATATACAAAGTTTATTTTTAGAGAAGAAAAAATTGTCATTTCTCAGTCATAAAAATATCTTTCTAAATATTCCAGTTCCCCACTTAAGCAGCACAGCTCACAAGGTGAAACTGTATTAATAACAGAGCTGCTTGTATATTTTGGAGATTAATCCTTTGTCAGTTGCTTCCTTTGTCAGTTGCTTTGTTTGCATAGCACAGGGAGATCAGCTGGATGCTTTGTGACAATTTAGAGGGGTGGGATAGCGAGGGTGGGAGGGAAGCTCACGAGGGAGAGGATATGGGGATGTATGTATACATATAGCTGATTCACTTTGTTGTACAGCAGAAACTAAACACAACATTGTAAATCAATTATACTCCAATAAAGATATAAAAAAATAAAGTACTAGGTAAACTGTGCAGAGCCAAATATCTCCTCCCCCAAACACAGCATGTGTATATATAAGAACCAAGATTTTATGAATGTCACACAGTAAAAATAGAACCCTTGCCCTAATCACAAAAGGACATTCTAACATGTTTTAAGAGAAAAGGGAATGCTACCATGAGTAGCAAATCAGTAAGTTGTGTTCACTACTTAAAGCAGATCTTTATCCTTTTGTTGGTCCCCCTGTCCTGTATGAGTGCCATCTTAACTGAAACAACATTTACTACATGCTCACTCTATGCCAGGAATTATTCTTCATACGACGAAGATTAAAAAGATGACTAAGGGCCAGTCGGAGCATGCGGCAGCTGCGGGGAGTGGGGGGAGGGGCATGGGAAAAAAGAGGTGACTAAGGGTTAGGTACTGCCCTCAGAAGCCTAGGAGAGGGCTTTGTACAGAGTGGGAAATCAATGAATTGTATCATAAATGAAAAAAATTAATTAATTACAGGAGTTTGCAAGTTCCTTTATTATTTATGTTTATTGGAAGTTTCAAAGCCACAACTAAATCAACAAAATGAAATCTTACTTTGGGAAAAAAAGGCACATTACTCCTAGGTCCTATTGACCAGGTAATTTTTCCCACTGGGAAAAATAATATGATTTTAAATACTTCACTTTTAAAGAGACCTAAGTAACAATCTGCAGTAGAAATTTGCTTTTGGGACCTCTCATACAAAAGTGTGTGTGTGTGTGTGTGTGTGTGTGTGTGTGTGTGTGTATTTATCGGGCCACCCAAGCATTCAGTACTTACATTCCTCACCTTGGACAAAAGAAGCTGGAAAATGGAAAAATAAAGATAGACAAAGGTTTACCCAGTACCTATAGAAGGATTTTAATTCACCTTCAGATTTGACTTACTTTTCTTTACTCCATGACAGGTGAGATGAAATTGTAATTAATAATAATGTCATCTATCTAGGAGCTACCAGCAAGGAACCCTTAGAAACAACTCTGCTGTCAACACTGTCTTCAGTAACCACAGCAGTTAATGGTGAGTAATGTATCTGCTTTGCCACCATTTTTCTTTTATGTATATCATCACATACCATACCATAATAGTCACCCTTTTAAAGTATTCAATTAAGTGGGCTTTAGCATATTCACAAGCTTCTGTACACATCTGGGACATTTTCATCACCCCCAAAAGAAACCCTACATCTATTACCAATCACTCCCCCACCCTTCCTCTAACCCCTGGCAACCACTACTTTCTGTTTCTATAAATTTACCTATTCTAGAAATTTCATATAAATGGAATCATATGATATATGATCTTTTGTGTCTGGCTTCTTTCACTTAGCATAATGTTCTTAGATTCATCCATGCTATAACATGTATCTGTAGTTTATTTTTTTCTATTACTGAATGATATTTCATTGTGTAGACAGACCACATTTTGTTTATCTGTTTATTCGTTGATGGACATTTGGGTTGTTTCTACTTTTTTGCCTATTGTAAATAATGATGCTAAGAACAATTATGTGCATGTTTTTGTGTGGCCATGTGTTTTCATTTCTCTTGGGTATTCTCAAAAATTAATGAACAGAAACCTCAGTATTTTAAATAGAGTTGATGGGCCAGAAGAGGGAGCTCTCACACCCTGAGACAATAGCAGAGCCCAACAGGAAGCAGAGACTCTCTTCTTCCCTGGCAAGGACTCAATCAATGAAAAGTCAGGGACTCTTTGTTTACTATCACCCTCCCCACTTCCTTTTCCCCTCTATAAAAATTTCTTCTTCCCTTGCCATGTGGGAACTTACACATGACTTGCCATGGTTGCAGACCCTGAATTGCAATTCTCTTCTGATCCCAAGTAAGTGCATCTTGGCTGGAGAAATATCTGTCAGTCCGTTGGCTTCAGGTCAACAGTGAATACCTTGAAGTGGAATTGTGGAGTCACACGGTAACTCTATGTTTAACTTTTTGAGGAACTGATTTCCAAAGCAGCTTCACTATATTACATTCCCACCAGAAAGGTATAAGGGTACCTTCTCTGCACTGATGAGTCTGTCTCCAGTAAAAGGAAAATTTATATCCTGCCTTTAGGCAGATAAGGGAGGCATTTTTATGCATTTGCTACTTCTTAATTGCATTCAGTTTAAAATAATTTTATATCAAAGATGCATATTTGGGGGTGACATATTCTGGTTTCCTTTAGTAGTTTATGCTGTGGATCAAATCAGAGAAATACTTGCTCAACTCAAGATCACAAAGATTTAGACCAACGTTTTCTTCTAAGAAGTTGATACTTTCAGCTTTTAAAGTCTTTGATATAGTGTGAGTTAGATGTCCAGCTTCATTCTTTTGCATGTAGTCATCCAGTTGTCCTAACACCAATTGTTGAAAAGACTATTCTTTTCCCATTTGAATTATGGTAGAACCCTTGATAGAAGTCAGCTGGCCATAAAGGTATGTTTTTACTCCTGGACTTGCAATTCTAATCCATTTATGTATATATCTATTCTTATGCCAGAATCATTCAGTCTTGGTTATCATAGCTTTGCATTAAGTTTTGAAATTGGGAAATGTGAATCCTCCAACTTTTTCTTCTTTTTCTAGATTGTTTTGACTATTCTGGGTCACTTGAATTTCCATGTGAATTTTAGGATAAACTTGTCCTAACTTTCTGCAAAAAGCCAGCTGGGATTGTGATAGGGATTGCATTGAATCTATAGATCAATTTGGGAAGTACTGCCATCTTCACAGCTGTAAGTCTTCCAAATCATGAATACAGGATGCCTTTATTTAGGTCTTTAATATCCTTTGATAATGTTTACAGTTTTCAGTGCAGAAGACATTCACTTCTTTTGTTCAATTTATTCCTAATATTTTATTCATTTTATTGCTACTGTAAATGGAATCATTTTGCTCAATTTTGTTTTTGGATTGTTCATTGCTACTGTATAGAAATAGAATTTATTTTCATATACTGATATTATATCCTTCCACCTTGTTGAACTCATTTATTGGTTCAAGTTGTGTGTGTGTGTGTGGTGTGTGTATTCCTTAGTATTTTCTATATATAAGATTCATCTGCAAGTGGAGATAGTTTTACTTCCTCCTTTCCAATATGGATGTCTTTTATTTTCTTGCCTATTTGCCCTGACTAGAACTTCCAGTTCAATATTGAATAGAAGTGGTGAGAGAGGGCTCCTTTTCTTGTTCCCAATCTTAGAGGAACGCTTTCAGTATGTCACCATTAAGTATGATATTATTGTAGGTTTTTCAGAGATGCCCTTAATCAGGTTGAGGAAGTCCTCTTATATTACTAGTTTGCTGAGTGTTTTCATCATGCAAAAGTGTTAGATTTTGTTAAATGCCGTTCTTAGTGTATTAAGATTATTCTGTGATTTTTAATCCCTTATTTTATTAATATGGTATATGACATTGATTTTCATATGTGGGACCCATCTTGCATTCCTGTGGTAAATCCCACCTGGTGATGGTATATCATGCCTTTTATATGTTGCTAGATTTGTTATCAATTATTTTGTTAAGAATTTTCATGTCTGTATTCATAAGAGATATAAGTTTGTAGTTTTCTTCTGTTGTCTTCATCTGATTTTGGTATCGGGTTAATAATAATAGCCCCATAGGATGCACTGTGAAGTGTTTTCGTCTCTACTAATTTTTGGAAAAATTTGTAAACAATTGATGGTAAATATTCTTTAAACGTTTGGTAGAAGGTACCAGTGAAAATCTGGGATTTTCTTTGTGGAAAGCTTTTGATTACTAATTCAATCTCTTTACTTGGTATAGGCCTTTTCAGATTTTCTATTTCTTCTTGACTCAGTTTTGGTAGTTGATGCAACTGGGGTGTTAAAGTCTTCTATTATTATTGTGTTATTGTCAATTCTCCCTTTATTTTTGTTAATATTTGCCTTATATATGTAGGTGCTGCTATGTTGGATGCATGTATATTTACAATTATTTGATCTTGTGGGTTGATCCCTTGACCATTAGATAATGTCTTTCTTCATCTCTTGTTGCAGTCTTATTTTAAAGTCTATTTTGAGTAACTCAAAGTGGAGTAAATACTGCCAGAAGTTTACGTTCAAGAGTTCAGAATGCTACTCCCACTGGAAGGGCTGGGTCCTGGCAAGCTGCCCTCTGCCTGACTTCCTAGCATGCTCTGGACCGTGCATTTTTCTGACCAACAGTCAGAATTAATTACTTTTTCAATTGCTAAAATGTGGGGACCAGAGCTGTGTAGACTTAGATGAAAGGGAGGAAAATATTTCGATTTTGCAACTCCAGCCTGAATGGGCAATATTGCACATTGCTCAGCTTGATTTGTTTGTTAATTCAATTAAGCTCAACAGCCCACCTACAGGGGTTTGGTTAAATAAATTATAATACATGGATTTAAAAAGAAGTAAGTAGCTCTAAAATATACCATCATAAAAATGTGTCTAAGGTATGAAGTGTTTAATGCACTTTGAGCAATCATACCCCAATAAAGTGGTTTTTTAAAAATAAATTTAAAAAAAAAGTCTAAATTGTCTGTTATGAGTACTGCTACCCCAGCTTTCTTTTCATTTTCATTTGCATGGAATACCTTTTTCCATCCTCTCACATTCAGTCTATGTGTGTCTTTAGATCTGAAGTGAGTCTCCTGTAGGCAGTGTATATATGGGTCTTGTTTTTCGTTTTGTTTTGTTTTTTTAATCCGTTCAGCCACTCTATGTCTTTTGACTGGAACAGTTAATTCACTTACATTTAAGGTAATTATTGATAGGTATGTATTTATTTTCATTTTGTTAATTGTTTTCTGGTTGTTTTGTACTTCTTTTCTGTTCCTTTCTTCTTTTGCTCTATTCCCTTATGATTTGATGACAATCTTTAGTGTTATGTTTGGATTTCTTTCTCTTTTTTGTGTGTCTCTGTTATAGATTTTTGGTTTGTGATTATCATGAGATTTATACATAATTCTCTCTCTCTTTCTCTCTCTATATATATGTTTAATGTTTTTGACATCAACTTTTACATCTTTTTGTTTTAGGTATCCCTTAAATACTTATTGTTGATCTAGATGATTTTACTGCCTTGTCTTTTAACTTTCCTACTAGCTTTATGTGGTTGATCTACTATATTTACTGTATGTTTGCTTTTACCAATGAGATCTCTACTTTCATAATTTTCATATTTGTAGTTGTGGTCTTTTCTACTTCACTTAGGGAAGTCCCTTTAACATATCTTGTAGAGCTGGTTTAGTGGTGCTGAACTCTTTTAGCCTTTGCTTGCCTGTAAAACTCTTTATCTCTTCTTCAAATCTGAATGATATGTTTTCCAGTTAGATTATTCTTGGTTGTAGGTTTTTTCCTCTCATTACCTTGAATATATCATGCCACTCCCTTCCGGCTTACAAAGATTCTGCTGAAAATGCAGCTCATAGTCTTATGGGAGTTCTCTTGTATGTAACTAGTTGCTTTTCTCTTGGTGCTTTTAAGATTCTCTTCTTATCTTTAATATTTGTCATTTTAATTATGTTTCTTGCTGTAAACCACTTTAGGTTCATCTTGTCTGGAACTCTCTGTACTTTCCAGAAATAGACGCATGTTTCCTTTCCCAGCTTAGGGGAGTTTTCAGCTATTATTTCTTCAAATATGTTCTCTGCTTCTTTCTCTCTTTCTTCTCCTTCTAGGATCCCCCTTATAATGTGAATGTTAGTGCTTGATCTTATCCCAGAGGTCTCTTAAACTGTCCCCATCTTTTAAAATTCTTTTTTTCTTTTTTGTTCAGCTTGGAGACTGAGACTCCTCAGTCTCCAGTTCACTGATCGTTCCTCTGTATCATCTAATCTCCTGTTGATTCCTTCTACTGTATTTTTTATTTCAGTTATTGTATTCTTCAGCTCCATTTGATTCTTTTTATATTTTCTAACTCTTTATTAACTTCTCAACGTGATCATTCATTCTTCTCCCAAGTTCACTGAGCATTTTCATGATCATTACCTTGACCTCTTTATCATGTAGATTACTTATCTCCACT